TCTTAAGTATTTTTCCACATAGACTAGAAAAGCAGCTTTAAAGTAAATTAGAAAGGAGAGAGACTCCAGTAGTTGCGATAGGTTGAATAGGGTGCAGTAGAAACATGTTTTCTCTTTTTTCTTTGGGGGGTGGGTGTTAGCAATAATATTTTAATTTTTTATCAGTGTAATTGAAACAATGGACATTCAGCATTAGGCATTTAGATAAATTGTGGCAGCCTTTTTCTCTCTCTTTCTTTCAGGCTTGCTTTCTACTTGGGATATTTGTTGGAAAAAAGCACAATGTTCATTCAAAGATAATGAAAGCATATGTCAAAATGATACTAAACAAACTGATCAGGAACAACCACATTGTCAAACCACATTCACAGATAAAATATAAATTTGTAAAAAATGTTGCATAATCCTGATGAGACCAGAACTCAACACCAAAAAAGCAATAATGTCCCATGGGACTGAATCATAATATTTTTCCATATGTAGCAGAAAAGTTAATGCAGAAAAACAAATTAATACATATTATACATTTAACCAAATATATTGAACCTTAAAAAAAAATCTTTCCATGCACACCATGAAAGTGAGAACATAGTAAAACAGTTAGGAGAATATATTAAAAACAGTTAGGTACTCTATTGAAACTCTACTACATTTTTTTTCATGATTGTGTTAAAATGTAAATCATTTATACTTTTCCAATGCAAGTGTGTGGCTCACCATGATTAAATTTAGCCTTATACATAATACAGAATTACTTTCTCTAAATAAACAAACCATTACATATGGATTCTTATTCTTCTTATTTGAAGTTTCCACAGTTGCCAGAAAGGGACAGATTTCTGAACGATCTTAATGAGTGGTTGTTGCCATCCGTCTCTGAAATTGCTGCACAGAGAATGTAACGTCTATGATATGTGCTGAGGTTTGTGGCCTTGTCAGGATTAAGTCATCCTCAGCTTCCAGGTTAGGAAAGGTGGAACAGAAGATATTCAAATACGTCCCTCTGTCAGTTCTCTCATTCATATAAGGAATGAGGAAGGAATAACGGGGCTTCATGCAGTGATGCTAGTGTTAGCCATGTTAGCCACCTTCAACAGGTAGTCAGACTGAGTCCACAGGCGCACACTCAAAGGTTCAGTTTTGTTTCACTGCAGGGTCTCTTCATTCTTCACATATCCGCGTTGGTTAGAGTAAATCCTGAAGCTGAATGGCCTTTGTACAAGCACACACACTTCTTAGCAGGGCAAAGGTATAAGCACAAACAGCAGTGTAGATCCAGGCAGCCAGCCTGTGTCTGTCCAACCAATCAGAGAGCTCCTTACATTGAGCCGCATGGCTAAATTGCATTGCTTCGGGATTTCAAAAATGATCCAACAGTTAAATTGTGTTATTAAATTTTTTTATTTATTTATACATCGTGAGGTTTCAAATAGTTCCTGCTTGTTCTATGGGCTCAAAATGTGGTCATAAATATTTTGTACTTGTAAATCAGTTTTGTACTTGTAAATCAGGATTTGTATGTGTAAAAAGAATTTGTGTGCGTGTAAAAAAGATTTGTGTGTGTGTAAAAAAGATTTGTATGTGTAAAAAGAAGTTGTGTGTGTGTAAAAAAGATTTGTATGTGTAAAAAAGATTTGTGTGTGTGTAAAAAAGAATTGTATGTGTAAAAAGAATTTGTGTGTG